CTAAAACTACTCTTATTTCCGTAAATACCTGCGTAAAAGGTTTTGTGCACAGCCAAACCTTCCAAATAAACTACATTTTCTAATCCATGAGATACAATATTTGTAGCAGAGAGGTACAACTAATAAACTAACTTCTCCCACATGACCACTGATGTAGAAAACGTTTTCTAAAACTACTCTATTTTCCGTAAATACCTGCGTAAAAGGTTTTGTGCACAGCCAAACCTTCCAAATAAACTACATTTTCCAATCCATGAGATACAAGATTTGTAGCACAGAGGTACAACTAATAAACCTACTTCTCCCACATGATCACTGATGTAGAAAACGTTTTCTAAAACTACTCTTTTTTCCGTAAATATCTGCTCTTGATTAAAAGGTTTTGTGCACAGTCAAACCTTCCAAATGAACTACATTTTCCAATCCATGAGATACAAGATTTGTAGCAGAGAGGTACAACTAATAAACCTACTTCTCTCAAATGATCACTGACGCAGAAAACGCTTTCTAAAACTACAAAAGGACTTTAGACATTCTTAACTTCATCTTCCAAACAAAGTATATTTTTTTCCAAAGTATTTATAGTAAATAATCCATTATTATTATATTAATGGACAATTATATAAATTAATTACATAACTTACAAATCAAGGATTACGGATTTCTTTGATAAATAAATAATATCTTAATTAAATACAAAACGAAAAAAAGCAGAAGTTTTGTTAAGAAAACTTTGATAACTTTAATACTCTTATGAATTTATTTTTTAATTAAAAGTATCAAGTATCAAAATATTATTATTATTCTTCGCATTACAAAGTTTACTACATTAATTTGCAAGATCAAAAAAGTAATAATGCTATTCAATATTTATTTTTCAATCTGTTTCTCAGGGACAAAACTATTAAATTAGTTTTCATTTACTTGCATTTGCGTACGGAAGCTTTTCCTTTGCAAATTTGCGAAGTTGTTATTCATACATTATTTTCTACATATCTAATTAAAATATAATTGCACATGCAGACGTCGTTTCATATTGCGTTGTTAAACGCTTGACTGTCTGCACATTTGTGTATGGAAGCAAGCTTGTATCTACATTTAGTTGAATTACTTCTTCAGCTGTTTCAACTAGAAAATATATTTTTTTAGAAATATTTTTATAAAGTTATTTAATTTTTATGTTTTCAAAGAGATTTCATTTCTATAGTCAGCATTTCTATAAGATTATGATATTGATGGACAAGTTATAAAATTCTTCTTATATTGGACATTATTTTCTCTATAATCCTCATTTCAAAGTAAACTTTGTGTGGTTGTATCAATTTTGTGTGTAATTGGACAGCCCTGCGACCTGCACGAGCCGTCTTTCAGGGACGTGCAATGCTCGGAGTTCGATTCCTGGGTGTATCCGGAGGATGGGAAGGTGCACGTGTGGCGCAGCTATCCGATCCACGACGGTAATTTAACTTTATCCGCGAGATTTCCTTGTAAGTAGAGGGATGAAAATAGTTGTATCAATTCGTGTATGTCGCGCAGAGAATCCCTGCGGGCTGTACTGCGTGAACGATGAGGGTGGCATAGCGTCGCTGCGTCCTCGTGTGATAGATGGGACCACGTGCTATCACGGCATTAGAGATATATGCATCAACGGGATGTGCAAGGTACGACTACCCATCTCCTAATCTACACTACACGCTGTATGAACTTTGATACATACCTTACCTATCTGTACCATATGTACATACGTACAAACGATACACCTAATCCTGATCAATGCCAAAAAGGAAATCCCGTGCGATCTGGATCTGCAATCGAACGCCGTCGAGGATCGTTGCGGAGTCTGCAAGGGAGACGGCACCAGCTGCAAGGTGACGCGCGACTCCAGACTCTTCCAATGCGACAGCGGACTAGGTGACTAGAAACTACTGATCCAAGTGATCTCACGCGTGTCAAACTGATAACGTATATATGTTAAGAGGAGGAGAAGTTTGCGGAGATTCCGAAGGGCGCGGTGAACATCAAAATCGAGGAGATGTTGCCGTCCGAGTCGAGGATCGAGGTCAGGGACAAGGATGGAAAGGACGTGTACATCGGCGGGTCCGTGAGCCAAATTTTTTGTGTCCTATCTCTCTCTCTTGTTGTTTTTTTTTTGTTGCGAATAGAACGCATGTTGTAAATATTTTGTTTCAATTTAGCACCGAATTGGGAACGTTTAATGTAAAAGGGACCAAAGCTTGGGTCGGAATGATCAGATTAAAACAGGAGGCCATCAGTATTCCCGGACCGCTGCCGGATCCAATTTCTATTTGGGTAAATATAATTTATTCTTCCACGCAATCCCGCAAAATACCTAATTTCCCAACGAACACCAAACAAAATTATATACGAAATCGCCTGAACACATGTACTACATATATTGATCGTAATTCTCATATTCCATTCCAATCCAATTCGAAATAGTAATATCATGTAAGCAGTACATTATAATTTTTAATTTGAGACGTTTATTTTGAAAGTGGCTTAAGTCCATTTTCATCTTTTATCAAGTTGGCACTTGTGACATTTATAATTTATGCTGAACTGTCAAAAAAAAAATAATCGGTATTGAAATATACTTAGTACATTTGAAAATTTTATATCACGTACATTTTCAAAATAATATAAATACTGAAAATCCTAATTTTGAAAGTGACCTAAGTCCACTTTTTATTGACGATGTCAAAAAGTGCGGCCCAAAATGTTGAAAGCAGTGATGAAGGTAATTTAAATTACGTTTTGATATTAAATTGAAATTTAAAAAATAATATTTAATTTAAAGAAATTATTAAACCCATGGGAAAGGATAAAATAACAAGATTTATTGATTCTGAAAGTGAAGAGGAATTAAAGTCATACAACAGATTTAAAAAAAGAAGGAGAATTTTAGAAGTTCATTCTTCAACAGAGGAAGTAATTGAGAATGAGAATTTACAAAACAGCACCTTCAAAGAAGGATTCAGAGATACATCAGAAAATTCGTAAAATTAAACGGAATTCAGGGAAAAGATACGATACAACGGGAATATCTCGGGGAGAAAATTATTCCTGCCAAAGTTTTTCAAAATGAAAATTGCCAATGCCGAAAAGACTGCTTGAAAAATTTAAATGAAACAGAAAGAAAACGTATTTTCGAAATGTTTTGGAACTTAGGAGACTTTAATAAGACTCTTGGAAGAAGCAGTTCAAGCATCCAAAAATACGAACGGAGAAAAAATAAACTGGCTTCAAATATGCTGGATGCGATTTTTAAGAAATGAACCATATAAAATTTTATACAAAACAACCATGGATGAGAACGCAGAATTTAAAATTCTTGATTTATTGCCACGTCGGGGCAGACCTAAAAAATTTGGGAATATTGTAATGCCATCGTTATATAAAAGTATAAGAAGCATCACATCACTAAAATACCTACACATGATGGCCTTATTGCGGTATATACCACCATAACTACTTCAAATCACTCCCGCATACTGATAATGTTAACGAATAACTTGTTACTAAATTTATTTCTATTATCTAAAAATATAATTTAATTGTTTTTTTTTTCTATTTTTTAAGCTATATGTAACGGACTTAAGCTCTTTCACTTTTTGTAACAAAACAAATTTTTATTTTGAAAGTGACCTAAGTCCTTTTAAGGTAAGCAAGGTCATATTATACACTTAATAATAGCGATTATTTAATAGGATGTATAAAATGAAATCCCTTAAATGCGATTATCTTACGTATATTTTTAATTTTGTAAAAACGCAAAACCTTAAGTATTTCAAATTAAAGATAAATGGACTTAAGTCACTTTCAAAATGAACGGCTCATTTATCTATATTATAACTTTCAAATTTACTAATTTAACAAATTGTATCGTGTTGTGTATCGTGTTTGTCTGTGGTATTAGGTTGGGGTGTTGCAGAATACGACAATAAAATACTCGTACGGGACAAAAGAATTGCACAAGCGGAAGCCGGTGTTTAGCTGGGATTTCCTGGATTGGTCCCGATGCTCTACGGAGTGCGGTCCCGGGACGCAGGAGGCAATTCCCAAGTGCGTGGAGAAGGAAGCTGGACAAGTGGACGAGAAGTACTGCACGGATGTTCACAGGCTCAAATCGCAAATACGTCCGTGCGAGCTCGCCCCGTGCACCCCAAAGTCCGAGCACCAACTCTCATTCTAAACCCACTAATTTTCAAGTCTCCTCTCTACGTTTCAGATGGTTCGTCGGCGATTGGTCGGAATGCTCGAAGTGTCCTCGCGGCATCCGAACGAGGATTATAAAATGCTTCATACCGGTTGGAACCGGCGAAGGAGAGTTGGATCTTGTCTCGGATGACTACTGCATCTCGCCGAAGCCGAGGATGCGAGAGTCCTGTACCTGCAATCCTAAAAAAGGTAAGAGAATTTGCATATATCGTTCTTTCAGCATCTAACCAATAAAAACTTATTCAAGGTCGATCGAGGAACGTGACGGTAAGTATTTGTAAGGGAATTTGATAATATTTAATATGATGCGCTTCGCGAAACAGAAGCTTTTCGATGTGATCGATGCGATGGACGTGACGCAGGTGCATCTGACGGTGCACACGGATTTCGATGGAAAGAACTACCCGCCGGGACTGCCGCATCCGAAGAACGCGAACGAGTCCGTCTTCGATTTGGAGGACAAGGAGGCGCTGAAATTTATGGATTCCATGCAGAGAAACTTCGAGAACAACAAGAGTCGCATCTAGGATTTAAGTCATTTTTATTTACTCTACCTCATACAAGTTTTTTTTTAAAAGATAATTTTATACAAATATGATATAATAGAATTAACGAATAAATACAATACAAAGAATGATCAACTTACCTCCTAATCAATATGCATTAATTGTTGAATAACAAATGTATTAATTCTTTCTTACATAAGCTTTTATTTGATTTAAATATAAAAATAGAACTAAAGAATAAATGTGACAAAATAGTAAAAACTATGTAACGACGAATATGATCATCAGTTGCTCTCAACGATATCCGGCGTTTTGTGTTGCTGTTCGTTGAGTATTTTCGCGGCAGCTTCGCCTTTGATGACTTTCTCTTTGGACATGTCGAGGGTGTCGGGAATCGTGTCTCCCATCGACTCGTAAGCCGCGTCCGTTAGATTGATCGCAGACGAGGATTGCTTGACCGGGATTTCGATGATTTTGATGTCCTCGGGGTCGACGTGATCCTTCACGACGGATCCCGCGTTCAGTTTAGGCTTCGCTTTATCCTTATCCCCGTGCTGTTGCTCTCCGACCTTCGGCTGGGTTACGGGGGCATCGCAACTCAACAAGCGCTTTTTCACATTGTAGTCCCGAACATCTCGAACCATCTTGTTCAGATTCCGAATGGATTCCACGCGCTGCAGTATCTGAAAAAGGAAAGCTTTAATTACCATTTGTTATCGCCCCTTAATAAAATACCCGGGGATCAGCGTCTGGCGCGTTTCCAACAGTCTGTAACCAGACGCGTTGCATCATGTGGGACGGTAGTCCTGCAGCCCTCTTCTTTGCAACGCAAACGGTTTGCGCTTGGCACAGCTCCTTGGATCCTGGTTTCTTCTCGCTGCATTCCTGATCTTCCACGAGGACATCATCTTCACCAGCTCTTGACGCTTCCCTCACGCACTCCACCTCTCTTATCCTGATACCAGACTGGTCCTTGCACGCCAAGCACTTACCCCATTTCCCAATCCTCCATCTCGGGAACAACAACAAAACAACAAACACTTAGAACATCTGTTTTATAACGCATTCGAGAAAACGGAAATACTTAGTCCTGCAAGCTTGCTCGTTGCATTTCCTCGTTCTCGCTACTGGTCTTTCGCTAGCCTGGCACAAGGATGCAGACACCAGTCCGGACTTCTCCTCGATGCATTTAGCCTCGGAAGTCTCCACGCCACCTCCGCACCTGTTCGAGCAGTCGTCCCAACCAACAAACTCCCAGTGGAATATCGGCTGATAGTTGTTCTTCGTCGTAGGTTCTGCGTATTTGTAACGATAACCGACGTTCTTGTTATCGTAAAATACAATCTGCAAGAAATTGGCAATTTGTCAAGTGGGATCGAGCTCTTAATTTTAGTAAAACATTAAAGGCGAATGGTATTTTTCATTGCGAAACTGTGGCAGAGCTTAAATCGAGGGCCATTGATCGGACGGTGTCATTTGCAGGGCGGATGATTGATGCTTTTTGCACTTCATCCCGTGACCATTGTGCGAGTTTAAGTGCACTCACTAATGGCACATCCGGTTTCTGTTTTCACAGACCCACCCTCCTTTTGCCATCGAGTCGAAACCGATTCGAAACGTATGTCACTACAAGCCAGATACTAATCAACTTTGAATAATTTAATAGAGTGTTTATACATTCTCCAAAAATATTCTAGTAAAAAAACAAAATGACTTTTACAATGTGTTGTGTCCAACCGTTACTATTACAATTATTATTATTAATATAGTATCTCTTAGTCGCCATAATAAATATATACATCAGCATAAAGGTAGCCTTCATCGAGACCAGCTACTGAAAGAACATCGCTCATATTTTCAATTAGATGCAGAATTGGCAAAATTCGTATAGGAGCAGTCTTATAAAAATTGTGCTTACTCCTCAAACTCCCCTTGCTTAGTTAACTTTATACGTAGAGTAAGGATTTGTAATTAGTCTTAGGAAGAACGCTAAAGAATCAACTACTGGGTGAAGAACCACAATAAAGCAAACACTTTGAAGAATATTTTAATAATAAACCGAAAGTAAAACTCGTTCAATTCATTATTTACCAAACCTAAGGCTCCACAACAGACAGCAGAAGAAGATATCCCACAGTGTCCAGAAAACCATCCCTGGGACACGACAAATGAATAAAAAAAAGTTAATAACTTATACTTGTAATTATAACCTTTAACAAGCTGATTTTACTAATTACGTCAATATTTTTTATAAAAGTCATCTAATTCCTCATTATCTTTATCGCTAATTACTAGAAACAATATTTTACTAAATAATACAATTATTACCATTAGTTCTAATACCTGAGTTAATTAAAATTCTAATGATTATTACCACACAACTTTTAACAAGCTTTTTTTTACTAATTACGTCGTTTTTCTTTTATAAAAATCATCTAATTGCTCATTATTATTATCGCTAATTTCCAATTTCTAAAAAAAAACTTTGTTTGACTTTGTTTTCGTCACTTTTCTGCAGACAATTATGTAAATAATTAAACGAAAAGTTGATATATCAAAAGTTTGCATTATGTAATTGATTTTTTAATATAATAATGTATGTAATAGGTATGTAACAATCCTTCTTGCTGATACTAACACGTATAAAATAAAACGAACTTTTCGCTCGTCCTGACACGTCATTTACAAACCGAAGCGTTTATTTGTAAAAATCGTCAATTTCCCAAAGTGATTTTTTTCTTCCCGTTTGTTGCGCAAAGCCACGCCACGCCACCCACGGTTGGAGCAAAGAGGAAGGAAGGAAAGAACAAAAAGCAAACTAGTTTCAAAGAGAGGCGGGGTTGTTCCATCCGGTCGTTCGGTTGTGCGGGAGGTGGCGGAATTTGAGTGAGTAATAGAGACGTTTAAAAAGGGTGACAAGTGCGGAGAGACGGTGCACCTGCGATATGTGCGGTATTACGTGTTATGCAACTCGGCATTCATCGCGGTTTTGCATATTATATGGCTGCGAAACGTTCATACATAATTTATTTTTAAAGCCTCGCTCGCACCGAAACCGCCCCATCGCCCCCACTCCCCTCGACACCGTCATCCGCATCGCCCCAACCCCCATTTCGTATTTCCCGCATATCCGACCCAACCAATCCCCCCAACACCGCACTCTTGCAAACAGACACACACACATTCATAAACACACATTCAGGCATGTGGTAAAACCGTGTGTAAATCCGCGATGAACTCATTTACTTAATTAAACTCCAAGAAATTGAATTACTTTAATCCGACTTCCAGTGAGTAAGTTGAAAGAGAGAGAGAAAAGGGCTGTAATTGCAGGACGATTTTTCCAGATAAATAGAGCGCCCTCGACGCAAATTATTCCTCGGGCCCATCGCTGATATTTACTGCAGGAAACGGCGGAGCTTAGCCACTTCCGGGGATTTGGAAAGCAACAAAAGTAGCTTTGGATTGTCGAAACTTCGCTGCAAAAGATATATCCTCTCACCTAGCCAATTAAAGAGGGACAGCGACAGGATATAAGCAGAACCTTTGCATGCAGATCGTTTCAAAATAGCCAAAAAAAAAATGTTGGAAATATCTTAATTTTATAAAGAAACAAAAAAAGTTATTGCTCGAAGCTTTGGCATTGATAAAAGATCAAAAAAGGAATGATTCATAGACCAATACTCGAAATATTTGATTATAAAAGTTGAGAATTAATCTTAAGTTTAGTTGCCTTAAGTCAGTGGTTTCCAAACTTGATGTTACTACGCCTCCCGCGCAAGAACGCGCATTACAGCAATATGGATAAGAGCACATGAATTTATCTATATTTGCTGGATTCCCCAAACATTCAGCTTTCATATGCATCTTTTGGATTCATTCTATGTATTATAGTTTTCGAGAAAATCAATAAAATGTAAAAACACTGCTTTTTCGAGCATTTTTTAAATTTTGAATACGAATTACAGCTAAATGGCTAAAACCACAATAATATAACAATACTTTCTACAAGCCCCAAACATTCTGCTTTCATATGCATCTACTGGCTTCATTCTATCTATTATAGTT